TTCCCCCCTTACTTAACCTTAATTAAGGGGGGACCCTAGAGAGGGTAGTATAGAGGGGGGTACTACTTGAACCCGTGATAATTGAGTTTTCAGGGAGGACGGAATGATACTATCAGGGCCTTTCCAATAAGGAGAACTTAGGTCAATTCTCGAGAAAAAAAAAGGTGCAGAGTGATTCAAGCTTACGAGGCTGTCCTAAACTTTCTTGTTTCAGCACGGCTCAAACAGCAGAACACGTCTGCATGCACTATAGAACAGATTCCTAGGCAGGGCAGCTCAACACTTAGAAACACAAACAAAACTGGGCAAACACGCAATTGTGATAACCCGTTTTGTTTCTGCACCGCCATACCTAACATGTTTTGTCTTCTCTATCAGCAGTCTTAGCAAGTCACGAGGACAGAGCTGGTAGCAATTTATGCTTCCAGAATTTGAGACCACTGGAACACTTGGCTCATACATATGCGAACTACGTCGCTCGATTACAAGTTCTAGTTTGAAAGCTGCTGTTGGACATTACCCCTCGAATCCAATTCAAGCGACCTGCACGCCCCAGCAATGGGATCAAGCTCAACCAGGGTGCTGGGTGCACGCTCAGGAACACCTGTGGCTCTGAACGCGACTGGTGGCGCCCATCGACCAACACCTCCGCTGCTGTACGATGACTTCTGAAAATGGGAGATACTAAACCCTCATCCATGAACCCGCAAAACCATTAAAACTGGGGACCCCAAGCTAAGATTCCCGAACCCCCCTCCCCCCCCTAGCTGAAGAAGGAAGGTGCCAAATACTGAATCGATCTATACATCCGGCAGTTCTGCAGAAGTACTTGTAGGTTGTATGCTGGTGAGATGGGTTGAGCCTGGGGGTTTCAAGTTTTAGGGTTTCAGAGTTGAAGGTTAAGTCTTTTCTGAGCGGAGGTTCCCTAGTAAATCTCTTCGCCTCATTTGAAACCCCCACCCAACGGCTTCAATGCTCCCCATAATCTCTAGCATGAATATAGATATATGTATGTATATGTATAGATACTCCTAGAAAACATGTAAGGAATATTAGTGGGCGGGAGGGGACGGTTGTGACATATTTTGACGGCAGAAGCTGTGGGTCCTGTACATGGCCACCCAGAAGAAGCCATCATTATCAATGTTGAAACGAGAATCTAACAACAGGAAGCAAGCAGCGAAGAACGTAGCCACAGTAGCAGCCCCCTCCCGAGGTCGAAACCTCCAAGGTAACAAACATGATAATAGCATGTGAGCTATAATCTAAACTCCGAGTATCCCCCCAAATAACTCCTATACCACTCTCCTATGCAATCCCCTATACCACCCCCTTTAAGGAGTTTAGACTATAGCTCATGTAGGAACTGTAGGGTTGTCCAGACTCGGAGCTTGCAATGGATAGCCTTGAGTTTTGAGCCGCTTTACAAAGCGAGGGTCTACCATCAGGGTTTAGGGTTTAGGGTTTAGGGTCGCGCACACACGAACAGCCACATGCAACAAATCATGGCAGCATGGTGAGCAGAATTTGGTAGTTTCCCTAAATAGGGGGACCCCCATCTAGACCCCCAAAATATTATAATCCTTATTAAAGGGACCCCCAAAAAGGTACCCCTAATTTTGGGAAACCCCTATTTAGTATTGGGGGGAGGGCCTCAAATCGTGAGTTGAGTCCTTCTTCAGGTTGGGCGGGCATCCCAAAGAGCTGGGTCACTTATGGGTGACCCTCCGTTCCAAGAAATTACCACAGTAAGCCATAGTACTGTCGGTACCACAAAATCCTGCATGACCTCAGTATACTAAGCCACCACAGACCCCACAAACCCTAAGGCACAACGTATGTGTTGTTTCACAGGGATTTTTGGTATCCAACCCTCAACCCTAAACCCTATGTTCAACCTTAAACCTAAACCCTATTTTTTGTGACAGCTGCCGCAAACGCTAGCGGCCTCTACTGGGTGCGAGCCGGGTCCAATTGCATGCACCTCAGCACGGCTGGGTGTAGTATAATGTACCGGCACATAAAGGGGAAAAAATGGAGCATCAAATCGGAAAGAACATGACCAAGGAAATGAAAGCAGAGCTCATGTGTGGCCTTTATAGGGACTGTACTGCAGGGGCAAGAGTAGTTGAAGTGTTCTATACTGCACATACAAAAGGAGGATATAGAGGAGGGGTATGGGTTATTGTTCAGGCTCCAGCTAGTGAGTTTGAAGCTTGGGACCAAGCTTGTACAGGAAGATGCTAGGTGCCGGCCCATTTCCCAGAAAAGGGACCATGACTTCTGGCCTAGCAGCCATAGAGCGGTAACATTTGTAACGATATAAGGCAGCTTCCATATGGTAACTGGTTTTGGGAAGCCCTTAACTCTATGAACCCCAACTTCCAAATTTGGAGGTTACGACCCAAATGTCGGCAAGCGTGTTCTTTGGGCGGAGAGTTCGCCTGGAGTGTGAACTCCATGCTACTGCTGAGGCTGTCTAAAGCTTTTTTGCCAATTTCATCCACCGAATGCACCCTGAAAGTTCTGAAATGTCCGGGCACCCCTGTGATGCATTTGAACGCCCCAAAAGCACCCTGCAAAGACTACCGTTACTCGAAGCGGGACCTACATTTTTTTTAGTGGACGGCCAGGACATCTCCCATGCTGGAGACGCCATTCGGGCTCGCGCATCTTCCGCGGTCAGCTGGCAGGTGGCGACGCGGGACGTTGACACCTGAACCAGAGCAAATAAACCTCTATGCTACTATATAACCATTCTTGTGGTGACCCCATGGGGAGTCCTAAACCCTAAAATAAGCACTACACATAATCGCCAGATTTCAATTAATGTTCCATTTTCTTTTCTATTTTCTATTTGACTCTCCGTTACTGGGGCAACAGTTGGAATTCCATGGCTGTCCGAATAACGAAGAAGTGCTGAGTCGGGGCTACCTTGATGGCAGTTCAAGGTTAGGCATGGGTACGGTGGATCCGAAAAATCCTGACCCTAAGTGCCCCTAAACCTTGGGAATTATGTGTTATAGTAAAATAGATCATACAGGATTTTAATATCAACAGTACCACCACCTTGCCAAGAACATCTTACAACCAAGCCAAAGTCAAGAGGAAGGGCTCTTGAAGTCTATGTCCACAAGCGATGACAGAAACGAGGTCGGCATTTGAATGGCACGAGATCCCATGGCAGAGGAGTGCGGCGAAGTCACTATAGGGATTGTAGGGTTATATTGGGGTTATATAGGGATAATGGAAAATCAAATGGAAACTACTATAATGGAAAATCCAATGGAAACTACAGGGTTTATAGTCCCCCTTAAGTAGATATTACCCCAATACCCCCTACCCTTGGACAAGAACCTCGAGTGTTTGGTGACTGAATGCCCCCCCAAAAAGCCAAAAGTTTGCAGAATAGGAACGAATGCCCAGAAGTATTCAGCTTTACTACCTCAATCCGATCTACGGGGGTTGAAATCTTGAGGGGTAAAGCTCAAAGTCCTTGAAGCCTTGCTGGCTGGCAGGTTGCTTCCCGGCCAGTAGAACTTGGGTTTAGGGTTTTTGGTTGGGGTTCAAAACATCTATACAAGCAAGTCAACACTCAGTCTATGTGGGGTTATCCTCAAAATTATGGGGCCCTTTTGGTTCTGGATTATATTACGGCACCGAATATCTATGGGACCTTACTTTTGGAAACTACTCATGTGTAGTTCAACATTGTGTACTTCATGGTTATCGGGCCCCAAACCCCAAACCCTGAAGCTGCAAAATCATGCCATGAAGAGAATCCTGCGGTTGCGGCCTCTCCAATGACTAGCCGCGGCCCGACCTTCTGAAAGACGGCTGAAAGAGAACTTGAAATGAGCCATCGTGTAAACTCCTACTATCCCCTTAATAACCCCTATAATTGTCCCCTATATAACCCTCCGCAAAGAGTAAGGTTTGTAGGGTTAAGCTATGGGCTTCTGTTTTTCCATCTGGTTTAAACGTTCCTCAAGCCCGGAGACTCTACGTAGAAGCACCTGCAACTTATCGGGAGCCTTTTGACG